AGGGAGGTTGAGTGGGAGGGGGGAGGGATGGAGGGAGAGTGTCCGAGGATAGGATGTGAGGATAGGATGTGGGCTGTGGCCTGCAATTGCATGGCCAACCAAAGGCACATGAAAGAGACTGACTTACAAGAAACAGCTCCTGAAAGAGCCCAGCAAGGCTTGCAGCCAACTTCCACTTTACTCTGGATATTTTCAGTTTCGGGGCAACTTGTATTGAGTCAAGATTCCTCCTTCTGAACATGGGGCTTTCCGGAAGGACAACAGCTCCTTCTGTGCATCCGCATGACCTAGGATGTTCCGGATTCGGGTCGACAAGGGAGTGTGTCTGCCTCTCTGGAGAACGATGACCGTGTGGTCCCTGTGGACTCTGCTTCTCTGGGCAGGTAAGTGGGCAGGTGAGTGGTCTGTCCTCAAGCTGCTGACCCCTCCAGCTGCCCCCTGCCAGATGTCTGGGCAGGTTCCCCCAACCCCAAGTAAGAACCCAGGAACTAGGAAGGGGTAGGAAAGACTGAAACAAGTTTTGGGGCAACCTTTAAAAGCAGGCAGAGGCAAAGAGATGCAGGGTCCTGGGTGGAAGGCGGCAGCAGCCCTGGGAGAATCCATGTCCAGGAGACTAGAGCTATTTTGTGGTCCAGGGCTGTTAAAACTGAGGCTGGTGGTACCAGTGGTTTGGGAAGAGTTGGTTGTGAGAGTGGTAAGAGTCTGGCAGTGTTAACATGTGAGAAGTCTAAATGCAGTCTGGGGAGCACAGGGGAGATGGGGCAGAGCAGGGCTCTTTTAATCTGAGAGTGTTTTTCCAATAGCCTGTGGGAAGCTGAGGCCCTGGGGTCTGGGTAAGGGGCAGTGGTTATGAGTAGGGATGAGAGGTGGGAGCAAGTTCAGTGTAGCACATGTGGACCTGGAGTGGCTGATGTGATGGGGCGCTTACCTGGTGGGTCTCTTCGGCCCCCGGCAATCCCTCCATTCTGTCTGGGGCCTGACTCCCCTTCCCTGGTTAAGAAGTGCTCAGTGTGACATGGGTTAGCACTGCAAGGCTGGGAGACAGGAGTCTTGGGCGTAGCAAAGACAGAGACACCTTGGTTCACCTCAGGTTCACAGGGACTTTGAGATGACTTTGTCCAGAATCCTTCCTGAGTGCCCAATCTTGAGGGCTCCGAGGGCTCTGCAGATTTCAACATTTCTAACCATGTGAGGGAAACTCCTCAAAAAAGAAGTCTGTTTGGTTCAAAATCTTTTAAATCCTTGGCCATGGGAGGCAAAAATAATTTTTCCAAAAGGCTCTTAATGGTAAACGAGATGAGTGCTACTGATTGGTGCACCCCCTTGTTTTAAGGATGGAACGGTGGAAGCCCAGGAAAGAGCATGAGAGCTGAAGGTCACACAGCTCATTCTGGGCAGAGCAGGGCAGGGCAGAACCTAGGAGTCATGACTGACATCCAGACCTGTGTCTTCTCTGCGTTATATCTTCACTCCACGTTTACCATGAGGTCATCTCCAATCAAGCCTGAGATGATCTGGGCCGGGGAGGGCAGTGAGGCAGACGAGGGGCTAGAGTTACCGGTGGCTGGTTGAGTAACCATTCAGAACATGTCCCTTACCCAGACTCCCAGCACCTGGGTATGTTCCATGTCTGCTCTTACTCTGCCCTGCACCCCTGCTCCCACGGCGGTGCCAGGCACGAGGTAAATCAGCGAATTCTGCCATTCATTCAGCAAAATTCACTGGGCTTCTATACACTCTCCTGAACAGTGGTGGGCACTGGGAGTGCAAAGATGAAAAGAGGAACTCGCAGGCTAGTGGGAGACGCTGACTTAGAAATAGGCAATAGCAGTGGAGATAAGGCCAGTTCAGAGCCAGGATCCCAGGCTGCCGAGGGACACAGCGCCGGCGTAACCTGCAGGGATGCACGGGGCAGCTTAGGGGCCCCCGATGCTTCGAGGATGAGCAGAAGCTCCCCAGCGACAGGCAAGGCGCACCTCAAGCAGAGGCATCAGCCACACGCCTCACGCTCAACATGGTCCCAGCAACACGCAGCGGCCCGCTACCTCCCCGCCCCACTGTGCTTCTCCTCCGTTTATGGATCCCAGAGAATTGGCACCTTGTAGGTTCCCAGGATGCGGGAGCCACCCTCGGCTCCTCTGTCCTTCACGATGCAGTCTGTGACGGGGTCCCACTGAGTACCATCTTTCTCTCTCTCGGTCCCTGCCCCCTCTCCGGATCCCAGTTGCTCCCCCTCAGTACAAGCTTCCACCACTCACCCTTGGGTCCATAGAGGCAGCCTGTCTTGTGTTGTTGTTGTTGTTGTTAACCCTTACCTGAGGATATTTTTCCCACTGCTTTTCAGAGAGAGAGGAAAGGAGGAAGGGAGAGGGACAGAGGGGGAGGGAGACAGAGAGAGAGAGAAACATCGATGTGAGAGACACATTGATTCGCTGCCTCCCCCGTGTGCCCCGACTGGGAGTGGGAAACCCAGATATGCTCTCTTGACTGGGAATTGAACCTGCGACCCTTCGGTGCTGCGCAGGTGACATGCTAACCACTGAGCAACACCGGCCAGGGCAAAGAAGCCTCCGTCTTGTCCCGCCTACAATGCCCCTCTGCCCCTCTGCTGGAGTGATCTTTCTAAGATGCATCCAGTCCTGTTACTCTCTCGCTTAGCATCTCTTCTAGGGCCCCCACTGCTCTAAGGATAAAACCCAAATGCCACCGCCACTTTCAGGGCCCTGCGTGATCTGATTCTCTCCAGCTCCGCAGCTCCATTTCTTACTCCCGCTGTGGGGAACTACTTTCAGAACCGGGCCACCATGCCCCCCCCCCCAGGCCTTTCTGCCCTCTGTTCCCTTTGCTGGTGGCATTTCCCATCCCCGCTCCTGGCGGCCTTCTGCTTGGCCTGGCAGATTCCACTTCTCCTTTGCGCCTCAGTCTAACCGAACCCCTCGAGACCAGGTGAGGTTACACTATCGCCCTGCCTGTGGTCTCCCAGAGCACCCCCTTTTTTCTATTATGGTACTTAACTTACTATATTGTAATTGCTTGCTTGAGAGTCTGGCTTCCTCTCTGAGCTCCATGAGCACAGGTGCCAAATTCCTTTTCTTATTGTTTTGATCCCAGCCCCCGGCACAGGGCACTCTCAACTTGGGTGGAGGGAGGCGACGTTCATTTGCTCCATGCTGCGTGCAGGAGAGCGATGGGGAGCTTAGGGCAGGCAGGTGACGCGGCTCTGTTCTTGCAGCACCCCCTCCTGTTGCGGTTACCAGTGACCAAGTTCAGGGCCAGGTGGGGGGCTCGGTGCTGCTGGTGGCAGAGTGCCACCCCGGCTTCCAAGTTCGAGACGCCATCTGGAGATCCCTCTGGCCTTCAGAGGAGCTCTTGGCCACATTTTTCCGGGGCTCCCTGGAGACTCTGTACCACTCCCGCTTCCTGGGCCGAACCCATCTGCACAGCAACCTAAGCCTGGAGCTCGGGCCACTAGAGTCTGGAGACAGTGGCAACTTCTCTGTGTTGCTAGTGGACACCGAAGGTCGGGCCTGGACCCAGATCCTGCAGCTCAAGGTCTACGGTGAGTGTGCCTGACACTGGCTCTCTGCCCCACCTTCCCTCACAAAGTCCTGCAAAGGCATCTTGAGTCCTGGGAGCTGTAGAACTGGTGGTTCCAGAAACCTTGGGCCTCTAACTTCATGGCTGATTCAGAAACCAGCTGTTCTCCTGCAGCCACATCTGAGAAAACTCCCCAGGTTCTCCCAGGTGAGCTCCTGTCTGGAGCAGCCCAGTTCTGTCCCCAGTAGTCCTAGTCTGAGCTCCAACTTGGTATTTCCTTGACTCAGTGGTCTTGGACACAATGCTACTCCGACACTCGCCTTCTCGTTAGCAAAGCAGATGCTGTGATATTACCGTGTAGATGCTCGTAACAGTGAAACACAATGGTGCTGGGAAAGCATCTAGGACAGAAATTGGCCTATTCTTCATCAGTTCAACAGTATCAGATTATGACATGTCATTATTTTATGTACCACTAAAAAGGAAAACATATTGCCAATTAAACTGCACAATATTTTTATTAAAAATTAAATTATAATTCAACTGTAGTTAAAAGTATAGAATTTTTATTTTATGTTTTTAGTTCTTTCAGATACATTGAGAAATTTTAACTGTGTAATAATATTCCTGGGTTCTTTTAGTCATTCGTGGTTGAAAGACATAGCATCCCAAACCTTAATGGCTTAGAACAGCTATTTTTATTTCTCACAGTTCTGTAGATCAGCCTGGCTCAGCCAGGCAGCCTCCGCTCCTCCTGGGTTTGCCAGGGTCATTCATGCACTGGCATTCACACCTCACTGGGGTGTCTGAATTCACTGGGGACAGGAAGGGTCTTTCATTCCAGCAACTTCACCTCCACCTCCATCACAGCCACCTCTGCCGTGACCTCTACCACCATCACCACCTCCACATGTGCCTCCACCCTCACCGCCCCCACCTCCACCACCTTCCTTCATCACCCTACCACTATCAACGCCACCCCCACCTCCACCCTCACTATCTCCACCTCCACCTCCACCTCCACCTCCACCTCCACCATCACCCTACCACTATCACCTCCACCCCTACCTCCACCCTCACTATCTTCACCTCCACCTCCACCTCCACCATCACCCTACCACTATCACTGCCTCTACCTCCCCCTTCCCCCCCCACCATCACCTCCACCTCCACCTCCACCACCTTTACTATACTTCTGCTGGTCAAGAGAAAGATGGCCTTCTAGCTCTCATTTATCTACCTAGTGGCTTGGAAATGATGTGTCAATGACCCTGAAGCACAATTTTAGTAAAACCTCAGAAATCTGGCAGAGAGAAATTTAAGAATGGAGAGTAGAGGAGACAGACACCCCTCCCCACCTCGACGTAGCTAACTGGCTGTCCTAGGGTATGCCACTCAGGGTGCCTATAAGCAATTAGATGCATGCAGCCCTGAACCAGGTGTACAGGTTGGCACACAGAGGGCCGGCTGGATTTCAGCACCCCCCCCTTTATCTGTGACCCCCTCGCCAACGCCCTGTGCGGTGAATAACCTGAGTCACAGGCGGCCCTGGAACTCTCCCTTGTTCTGAGTCTCAGCTGCCGCACATGTGAAATGAGGACACTGAATGTGATAATACATGTGGCACCCACTCCACTAAGCTCTAAAATGCCTTGTTCTCAGCATCTGAATTACACATTTTAAGGAAATTGCTGTTTTATTGCTTCCGAATACATAGCGTGATTGGAACTAATTGCGCAAAGCTGCCAAACAGCCGTCCTTAGGAGCTCTGCGCTGACAATAGATAAAGAAGCATTTGCATTAGCTGATCAGCTACTGGAAATGTCAATGGTGTTTCTACTGTGCTCATCGGGTTGGGAGGCAGCTTGACCTTGTAAATAGTGTAAATATCTCCCCCTGTAATCTTTGTCTATATTATTAGTGTGCCCAGCAAATTTTTTCTTTTTTCATATCACAAATCCCAGCATATTGAGCTGACATTAGTGGGGTTTTACTCTGCTTGACTTTGGAACGCTGTCAGACACTGAGCCCTCTCATTGTCACCAGGATGCTCTGCCACTGGCCCCCACTGCCAGGGAGACTCAGGATTTACTCATCAACTTATATAAGACAGGGGAGACGCGACCTAGGATGCCAGGACACCAATTTGGTCAGTGGCCCAGGTAGCTGAGAACCTAGAGAGTGAAGGTTATGGAGATAACAAGACAGAGCCCCTTCATAGCATTTCGCACCATTGTAATTATTTTCTTAATTATTTATAATCACTTGTCAGTATTTGTTTTCCTCTCCAAACTCTAAGCTCTCAAAGTCCAGGAATGTGAATGTTGTTTTGCCTGACTTAGTAAATGCTCACCATCTCTCTGACTGATATATCATGAGAAAAGTGCTATGAGAAGGGACAGACAGAAGGCTTGGAAAGCTCAGAGTATACCTGGAGTATGAGGGAAGGCTTCACAACCAGGGCAGCAGGCAGTGTGTCCACGCTGGGCCCGGGAGTTTTCTGGGAGGACAAGAAGAGAAAGGTACATGTGCACAGCTGAGACATTCAGAAGCATGGAAGAGCTGGCATGTTTGAGAGAACTGGAAATTACTTAGGGTTGGTGGAGACGACCAGCAGGAGGGATAGCTGGAGAGATTGACATCAACCATTTTATGGAGGATTTTGAATCCCACACTAAGGAATTCAGCTTTTGTCCTGTGGTCAATGGGAAGCCAGACAAGGTTTTGAAGCAACAGTGGACTAGCCAGAGCTCTGGGCCCTGCCCAGCATCCCAGTAACCCATACCTGCTCTACTCTTCTTGCCCAGATGCAGTACCCAGGCCCACGGTACAAGTATTCACCTCTGTATCTGGAGATGCTAGGCCCCCCAAGACCTGCCAGGCATTCCTGTCCTGTTGGATCCCCAACATCAGTGACATAACCTATAGCTGGAGACAGGAAGGGACCATTGACTTTGGTATCAAGCCACATGGCCTCTTCACGGATGGACAGGTGTTGAGGGTTTCACTGGGACCAGGAGACGAGGGCGTGGCCTATTCCTGCATTGTCTCCAACCCTGTCAGCTGGAACTCAACCGTAGTCACCCCCTGGGAGAGCTGCCATCCTGAAGCAGGTATGCCACAGGCCAAGGGTCAGTGTGGGATGGGGAAGCATCAAGTCCACTTCTGACCCTGCCCCCTCCGTGTCCTGCACCAGGAAAGGCCTCCTACAAAGATGTGCTGCTGGTGGTGGTGCCTGTCTCGCTGCTTCTGGTCCTGGCTGGTGTCCTCTCTGCCTGGCACTGGGGCCCCTGCTCAGGTGGGAGTCCTGAGTGTGGAGGTGGGTGGAGGAGCTGAACCTGCTGGAGAGGAGGGCAGAGTCTGGACCTCCTCCTGTTTGTCTTCAGGTTGTCTGCCCCCCTTACCTCTCCCACCCCTTCCCTTGGCCCGCTCCATCTTGTATTCTGGCCTCCACTCAGACTTGAAGTTTCTTTTGTAGCCCTTCAAATGAACTATTCTCTTCCATATATCTTCAGGCTTTTGCACCTTCCATTTTCCCTGTCTGGAACACACTTGCCATGATTTCCCACTCAACTCCTTCATTGGGTTATCTCCCACTCGATCTTCAAGGCGTACCTGCTCCAGGAAGCCTTCCTGACCTTCTTCCCCACCTCCAGGCTGGATTAGGATCCTGCCTTTAATGCCCACCCCACTCAGAGCACTGATGGCAGTTACTGTCCCACTAAATTCTCAGCCCTTAAAGGCAAAGGCTGGGTCACCGCTGCGCATCTAGCAATGGTGTCTGTTACATAACTGGTATCGGTAAAGGTTTGTTGAGTGAAAATTTAGTTGAATCCCAACCCCTTGTTGCTTAGGAAATGCTCCCCGAGCAAAGTGCTTCTCTGGCCAGGAGCTGATAGTGCCTCTTTGCCAAGGAGAAAAGAAAAGGGGAACTCGGAGGTCGGCCGGGTCCTGAACTCTACACCCACCAGCCCTGCCTTTGCCCCAGAATGCCCTGTCCCTGAAAGAAACACCTCCACTGGCCTGGGCTTCATGGCCGTGTGCACCCCAGGCTGTATGGGCTTGCTGGCCCCAGGGTGGAGAGAGCGGACCAGCATGGAGGAAGAAGCATGAGACCTGAGCCACTCAGCATAGAGCTGGAGTAGAGGACTGGCTCTTGTCTATTCTTTCCCTGGGGATGGGGGCCAAAGCAGCCAAGGTCACACTCCACCCAAGGGCCCTGTCTGTCCCAGGCAGTCCCCAGGATTTGTGGTAAGAATGTAGAGGCCAGGAAAAGAGCAGCTTTTTGTTTTAACAGCTCTATTGAAATATAATTCACATACGATACAATTCACCCATTTAAAGTGTATACAGTTCAGTGGCTTTTACTGTATTCACAGAGTTGTGTATCCATCACCACGATCAATTTTAGAACAATTTCATTACCCCCAAAAGAACCCCCTAAACCTCTCAGCCATCACTCCCTAACCAATCCCTGCTTCCCTCCAGGCCTAGGCAGCCACGAATCTGCTTTCTGTCTGTACACTGTCTGTTCTGGACAGTGCACTAGTGGTCCTTTGTGACTGGCTTCTTCCACTCAGCTTAATGTTGTTAAGGCTCAGAAAAGAGTGCCTTTGGCCACTGAGAAGGGACAGGAAGAACCCAATAGAAAGGTTCCTCACAGGGAGTCCTGAGGCTGTCTCTGGCTCTGCCACGTGGCTTCTGCCCATTTAACTGGGTCCATTCCAGCTCTAACTTTCTATACTTTTTAACAGCTAAATGTATGGCTAAATGTTGCAGGGGAGGCTGGACATTAGGAAGAACAACCTGTCTTCGAAGTGTCTACTTTTCCAGAGTCCTGCAAAAGCAGGGGGGAAATGTGTGGTTTTGTTTTGGGGTTTGGGAGTTTTTTTGTGGGTTTTGTTTTGTTTTGTTTTGTTTTGTTTTGTTTTGTTTTGTTTTGTTTGAGGTGATCTTCCGCCAGGACAATTGGGATTAAGGGGCCTTGGGCCAAGCCAAGGATGCTAAGATTCTAAACATTGGGGAGGTAACCTTCTTTCTTGTCTCCTTTCCAGGGAAAAAGAAGAATGTCTGTGCTGATGGAGTCGCTCTAGAGACGGAGAACCCCCTTGTGTAGGGTCCGCCATGAGTGAGGAGATAAACTGATGCTGGATCATGAGGAACCCCATTGCCCAGGCACACGATGGTCTGGGACATAGTTGGTGCCTGGGAACTACCAGGGTACTCGTTCCTCCTGTGAAACTCCATCCCACTTTCCTGGAGCAGCCTGGGCAGCTGGCACACTGAGGACACAGAAAACATTGGCATGACTTCCCACACCCTACCCCTTCCCTCTCACCTTGTTGCATGCCTTGGCCTTGGTCTGGGCAAGATGGGCCTAAGAGGATATTCCCTAAAGGACACTGGACATTCTCCAGGACCCATGGGGACAGTGATTGTCCAGGGCATTCGCTTCCTACCACTGTATATGTTGAAGTCCTAACCCAAATGTCTCAAAATATGACTATTTGGAGATAAGGTCTTTAAAGATATAATTAAGGTTAAATGAAGTCATTGGAGAGGGAGAAACACCAGAAATGCACAAAGAGAGAGAGAGAAAAGGCCGTGGGAGGACACAGAGAGAATGAAGCCAAAGAGTGAGGCCTCAGTAGAAACCAAACAGCTGACACGTTGTTCGTGGACTTTCAGTCTCCAGAACTGTGAGAAAATAACTGCCTGCTGTTTAAATCACCCAGTCAGCGGTACCTTGTTATCATAGCCCTGACAGGCTAATTAACCAACTTGCACCAAAGGATTGTCTCCAGCCTGGGTTCCAGACATTAGACCTCTGAAATAACTACAAATCCCTGAATCACACCCTTCCATCCCCTGTCCCAGCCCTACCCCAAGCTCCTACACTTTGAGACCCTGATGCTTCCTGATGACCAAGGCATTAGCATAAGAAAAGTTCTAGAAATAAGTGATGGTGGGAGATGAAAGACAAGGGTTTCTCTTTCTGGCTTGAAAGACTTTCAGGTCATCTGAGTTCATGGCCCTCAAAGATAATTTACAGTTATAGACCATCAATGGATGGTTCATATCTCATGGTCGGGATGGGTGCGGTTTTACAGGTAACACCTTTTCAGTAGATAACCTCACCATCTTTGTTGACCATCATGACTCCTATAGAATCTGGTGATGGGATTTGAGACTCTCTCCCCACTGCCTAGCACAGTGGCCAGGAGAAAAGATACTAAATTTGCCCCAGCCAACAGGAAGTTTTCGCACAGCTTCAAGAAAACTAGCTCAGTTCGAGGTGAGTGTCTCTACTAGGGACTGAGGGAGGAAAGAGCCAGGAAAAGCTAAGCAGAAGAAAAATTATGAAGGGGATGGGCACTGAGGCATCCTGGCATCTGGCACACTAATTTTCAGAGGCAAGTGCAGAAGATCCACCCAAGTTTAAGGAGAGAGGGAAAACACCTCACAATTCAATGGGGAGATGGTCAAGGCCACTTTGAAAGAAGAGCTTGTTTGAACAATAATTGCGACCATCTTTGGAAAATACTATTTGCCACAGAGTGATTCTGTCTAGAAAAGCTCTGGGGTACTGCCACTGGAAAAAAACTTGATGAGCTAAATTTAGGGATTCATAGATGATAAAGCTCAGAGTTACTCCTTCCCAGGTATAATTGGATTTCTTTCCTGGGCCTCACTCAACTCCTGATAATTGAGAGGAAGGAGGAGTTGAATAAGCAGGGGTAGGTTTTGAAGTATTTCCCCAGGGTGGCTTTTATCACTCCACCCAGGCTGTTAGTCCAGGCCAAGGATCTTCCTTCTTTACCTCAATTTCTGGGTAGTCACTTCACCTTGGACAAATGGTCAGTAGAACTGGCCTCCAGATTCATATTGCCACTCCATTTGACTAGTCCTGGAGTTTCCCTGCCTGTTGGCTCTGCTCAGAGGTCCCTTGCTGGTCACCTGGCTTCAACTAGTCTTCATGTTTTTCCTGTACCCACTTCCCTCCCATCACCTCCCAAGTCCACCTGAACATGCACATGGCCACCCAACCTGGCAGTTTGTGTGGCCCCCACCTGCCAGCTATAAACATTCCTCATATCTGGTGAGTGAATCATACAAAACTGACCTCAGTTTCTAAAATTATGTGAAAGAGAAAGCCCAAGATCTAGCAAGAGGCCATGGTGGTTATATGAAGGAAACACACACACACCATGCTCCACCTTACTTTCCTTCATCCCCAGAGCCCCATCTCAGATCAGAGCAGTTCTGGATGGGGTAGGGCCCACATTTCTCCCTTCACAAGGTAACTCTTAGTGACCTCACACAAATGACCTCATTTAGACAGTGACTTTGTAGGGTGGTGCACCAGGACCTTTTTGAACAGACCCACTCTGCTTAAATAAATTGATGTTCCCATCCCCAGTGACTCACTTGTCAACTAGTGGGCTAAATAACCCTCCAATAAAAACTCAAAGTGTATGGAACTGGAGAGTATTATGCTAAGTGAAATAAGCCAGACAGAGAAAGACAAGTATCACATGGTCTCACTCATATGTGGAATATAATGAACAAAATAAACTGATGAACAAAATAGATCCAGACATAGAAGCATGGAACAGACTGACAAATCTCAGAGGGAAGGTGGGGGTGGGGGAGTGGGTGGGAAGAGATTAATCAAAGAACCTATGTGCATAACCCATGGACACAAACTATAGTAGGGGGAAGGCCTGGGGGTGGGGTGGATGGAAGGTGGAGGGGATCAATGGGGGTAAAGGGGACATCTCTAATACTTTCAACAATAAAGATAAATTTTTAAAAAAGAAAAAAAGTGCTTCTGTGAGGACAATATTTGTGTTAATAAGCATTGAGATTGATGCTTTAAAAGTCACACGAGAACAAATATTGATTAAGGGTCAAATGTGTGGTTTCCAAATGTGTGATTTCCAGGCACTACGAAGTCAGCAGTGAACAAAGCAATGTCCTTCCTTTACAGAGTTTATATTCTAGATAGTAAATAAGCAAGTAAGCATATGCCAGGTGTTGATAGGCTCTATTAAGAAAGATAAGCAGATAAGGCGGAAGATGGCTACAGTGTGACAAGAAGCAGAGCATCTTTGCTCCCAGCCATGGACTCAGTTTATTGCTAAAGTATTCTTTAACCAGCTAGGAAAAACCAGAAAAATACACCTGAGTGGACATATTTCGAGTAGGGAGCACTAAAGAAATGTCATAGAGTCTGGTAAGAGAGGGGGGCATAGAAAGGGTGAGTCCCCCCAAAGCCTGTGTTGGGCTCTGAGGCTCTAGGGCTAAAAACTCCCTCCCCTTGGAAGTGTGGACTGGCATCCAAAAGCTGGGATCTCAAACCTGGAGCAGAGGAGAAGGGAAGGAGAGCCCCTCATAGAGGGCAGAGGGACCCAGGGGAGCAGTGTGGCTTCAAGGAGGGGGCCACCCCTTCCTAGTGAAACAAAGTTTCTAATGGCTGAAAGACAGGTGTTTTTCACTCAGGATGCTGACCATAGGAAAGGCTGTCCCACAGTGTGTGGCTCCCGAATAGAAAGAGGCCAGAAGGTTGCACTGAGCAGCCACCTACAGGGACCCTCTGCCTTCCTGTAGGGCATTGCATAGAACCCCAGAAAGCATTTGATCTGTGCGTCGCAGTGAAGTGGAAGAGAATTCTCCCACTGACAGAGGGATTGGAGCTGTGTGTGGGGCGGATGGGGTCTCCAGCCCCCTGAGCTCCTGGTGGGGCAAATCTGGGATTTTTGACCTGCCCTGAGGGGTGCCCAGCTTTACTGAGATCAGAGGGCCAGGGGAACTGTGTGTGGCTGACTTTGTGACCCCTCCCGCTGGGTGCCTTGGCGCAGGACCTTGCAGGGCGGATTCTCTGCTTGTGTGTTACTTTCTGCGTTTCTGAGTTTTTGATTGCTGAACTGGCTCCCACCTTCCTGGCTTGCATTGGGGAGGCAGACTAGCAAAAGCCGGGATTTATGTCTGCATTGTGGAGAGTTTGAAATGAGCTCCCCATGCGATCAGTCAACCAGAACTTGGGAGGGGCAGAGCATGCCTACCTCTCCTACAGGCTAAAAGCACCACCCCAATAAGAAAGGGGCTGATCCAGCTCACTGAAGCCCCAGATATTCCCTGCAGGGCACAGTCCTGAGGGGGAAGGGAGAACAGCTCACAAGAGGACATTACAAGAATAAGACTCTCAGGGACTGTTGTTGGGGAACTGGAGGAAAAGCTTAAAACCCCCGCTGGGGGCTGGGCAGGCAAAGGGTTCACTGGAATGTTTTTAAATCAAGCCCACTGAGCCCAAGCTGCTGAAACTGCCCACACAGAACAGGCAACAGGATTGCTGAAGTCAATCTGAAACTGCAGCCGGCCACTGTATGGGGAACTAGAATCAGAGGACAGGGTAGGGACTGAGGAGCTGGCTTTGAAGCAGAGACTAACTTCCCCACAGTGAGTGCCTGACCGCAAAACCTCTAAGTAAGAGAAGCGGTATCCTGAGCTACACTAGCCACCTTGCACCCTAAAGACTCTTCAGAAGACTCTGGAGCAAGACCAGGCAACCACAAGGTTGCAAAATAGCTGACCAGAGGAGGTGGTCCATGGAGAGCCTCAGATCAACCATCTACCTAAGGACACCAGAGCCAAACCTAGACGGCTCCTCACATTGGCTGATACACAAGCACCTCCCAGGAGAACAGAAATCAGCACACAAAACAGTGAGCCACAGGCAACATAAGCTGCACAGATGAAACTCACATGATTGACTTTATTTTTTCCCCTTAGGAAAAAGAGAGAAAAGAAGAAAGTTTATTCCTTTTAAATTTTTAAATTTTTTAAATTTTTTAAATAATTTTTTTTTAATTTGTTTCACTTTGCTTGTTTTTTTTTGTTTGTTTTTTGCTTTGCTTTGTTTTATCTTTTGTTCTCTTTATATTCTCTGCTTAATTGCTGGGGCATTATCATTATAACCAATAAGTTTACTGCTTTTCTCTATCATTTCCCTCATATCTATTGTTGGATTCCCTCCCTGCCCTTGCTTTATCTCTCTCTCTCTTCTCATTCCATTGGCATAACTTTTTTCTTTCTTTCTTTTCTTTTTCTCCCTTC